CTATATACAGATTTTATTAATCTTTATTTAGCACAACTTCAATATATAAAGGAATAAGTTAGTTTAATATTGATTATACATTACTAGTTCATAAAGGGTATTTAGTTAATTATTTTAAAAACATGGCTTTAAGAGAAGCCAGATATTAAATTAAAAAAATAATTTTATATGATTAATTTATGTTGTTTAAGTATTAGGGGTGAAGATTTAACATCCTTATAGCCAAATGATACCTATTAGTAGAGGTTAAAAAGGTTAATATATGACCTCCCATGATCAAATTTATCAACTAATGGTCCAACTATGAGATCTTTAAGTGATTGGGCCAAATTTGTTATGGTAGATCCTCTAAGACACCTAAGTAGACAATATCGACCAAATCTAAATTTTTTGGGCCTACGAGAAGGAACATGACCTAATGGGATAACAAACACCTTGAGTAGAAATGCTATGATGGGAAAGCCATTAGATGTCCCCAAAGATAGATGGGGGTCTACTAAGGCGATATGTTAGCTAACCTAAGGACTGAGATAAGTCCTTAAATCTTATAATGATCATTAACCTTTATTGATTTATGGTATAAAGCATGCACTAATGCCACCTAGAGTTGATTAGGGAAAATGAGCTTATGGTATAGTTTATGACCCAATTGGTTAAACAGGTCAAACTCTACATACCCCTAGGGTAGGGTTATACCCAAACTAGGGTATTCATACTTATAAAATCATTACCAAGAGTTAGGACAATCATTATAATAATGGGAAATATATAGGAATAATGTTTATAAATTTAGTGATTTTTAATTAATTTTATTAATAAAAAATCCAAAACATAAGAGACTTACAAGCTTATAAAGGATGATCTATAGTCCAATAGGTTTAAAATTTAAATTATAATCTCTCTTATAAAAAAAAAGCACACACACACACACAAACACACCAATTTTTTAAGTTTTTGATTGATAGATTAGAGATAAATAATTATTTTAATATTTAACTAATTATTACATCTTATTAGCGTAACCAAATATATTTTTTGTATAATTATTTTGAGATTCTAAAATTAATAAGAAAATTTTAGTTGCTTATATCATTACATTTGGACATCAAAATAAATGGTATCAAGAAAAAGAATATATTGTAACCACATAATAATCTCATCCCTTGGATCACCATATAAACAGGTCAAACTCTACCCCTAGGGTAGGGTTATACCCAAACTAGGGTATTCATACTTATAAAATCATTACCAAGAGTTAGGACAATCATTATAATAATGGGAAATATATAGGAATAATGTTTATAAATTTAGTGATTTTTAATTAATTTTATTAATAAAAAATCCAAAACATAAGAGACTTACAAGCTTATAAAGGATGATCTATAGTCCAATAGGTTTAAAATTTAAATCATAATCTCTCTTATACTAAAGAAGCACACACACCAATTTTTTAAGTCTTTGATTGATATATTAGAGATAAATAATTATTTTAATATTTAACTAAATATTACATCTTATTAGCATAACCAAATATATTTTTTGTATAATTCTTTTGAGATTCTAAAATTAATAAGAAAAATTTAGTTGCTTAAATCATTACATTTGTACATCAAAATAAATGGTATCAAGAAAACGAATATATTGTAACCACATAATAATCTCATCCCTTGGATCACCATAGTCCTTGTATCTTGAGCTAAGAACTAACAAGTCATATCCCAAGCTCTATCTAATGGGGAACCTAAGAGTAAGATTGTAGAGGAGAAAAGTCCTTTTTATATCTACAATGAACAAAATAGAATGATGTTTTATAACTCTATAGAAAGGTCATAAGGAGAGCTATATGGTGGTGTCAAAATCAAGACCTGTGAAAGTGTATGCATCTAGGAAAATCAAGTGTGAGATTAGTTTAATGGGTGAAATGTATCCTAGGCTGATGCCAAGATTAGCCATCCAAATTAATAGAAGATCTTCCTCATATGAAGAAATCTATAATAAGCTTATGTTAGGGATGGTTTCTTCTAAATGGCTCTACTAAGTAGCTTTCTTTTTCAGCTCAAATAGGTTTTAATTGAGGATGTTATAGCTTAGCAGTCTAATCTTGGGCTCAACTACTCCATATCAAACTTCCTCAATCAGAGCAAGCTATTGTAAGTACAATAAAGTCTTGAGGAAGCCAAGGCAGAGACATCAAAATCTCTAGCTTCAAAATCTCAAAATAATGTGCTAAGTGGGACGGGAACACTCTAGGAGGTCTTTTTCTCACTTAAGAACACAATGGGCATAATCTACTCATAAATGTCAGTCAAAGATATTGACATTAATCTAAAACTGATTGATGATGTTAAATAAATCATAAACCTATATATAATTTGTTTCATTATATGTGACTGCATGTATTTATAGTCCTCAATTTGATAGTATTTGACTGCATGTATTTATATCCCTTTGACTATTTAGAAGTAAAACAACCTCACAAATAGTGGATTTTTACATCTTGCCTATGCAATAGATTTTTCCTCGCCATTGAGATATTTGATTTAAATAATTATCTTTTTAGTTGCATGTGTGTTTGAGCTCTTTATCCAAGTAGAGGATAAAATTTACACTATCACAATTACAAAGGTTATTTTTTATGTTCCATAAAATTATTATATCAAAATATAGGCATGCTAATTTGTATTTTAGTTTAAGAAAAAATGCATATAAATTTATATTTCTCATAAATTATCAAAGCTTTCTACCATAATTCACAACTCCATAAGAAGACCCTACCTATCATTCTAGATCATATCCATTTATAGTTTGCTTGTCATTCTATAAAGGGATATGATCTAGAAGTCTTCTTATGGACTATCTGGATTATAATTTAACCTGCATTCTAGATCATCTTATATTAGATTGAATTCTTTGTATAAAATAGATTTGATAAGAAATTATATTTGATATAATTTATAAGTACACAGAAATTAGTGAAGAATTTTGACAGGAGAAATAGAGAGGGGGAAAAGCATCCTATGTTTGTTTCTTTGTTTGAATTCAACCATCCCCATTGGAAGGTGGAGAGAGAGGGGAGGATTTCCCATGTTAGTTTCCTAGAAATATTATTTTTATCTTTTTTATGTTATTATTAATATTCTTTGAATAATAATATATCTTCTTTATTCATGTCAACTTTATGTTTCCATGGTAGCTTGCATTTGTAATTGCAAAATGGAGAGAGGGGATAAGGGGTGGACATCGACCTCATGCTTATTTTCTAGAAATACTATTTATATCTTTGTTTATGGTATTATCGTAGGCTGACACTAGCTTACTAAATTGGTTAGAGAACTTCTTAGGGTGACAAAAAAGCTATAACAAGTTTCTTCTAGGGTTGGTGCTCTCTTAATGGCTTTATTGATCGAGCTCCTCCTTCAACTCCAATAATGTTTGATAGGGATGAGGTTGCAAACCTCTTCCTTGGCTCAATAACTAGAGATTGAATATCCTCAGTGAGAGAATCTATATATTATAATTGGAATAAATGGTTGAAGTAGCATAGATAGAGAGATCAAACTAGGTTTCTCTCAATCTTCTTCTTCCCCAACTTTTGACAGCTCATAATAATGGGCTAGGTGGGATATGAATACTCTAGGAGGTCTCTCTCTCTCTCTCTCTCACACACACACACACACATGGCAACAACAACAACAACAACAACACACTAGGCACAATCGACATGAAGATACCTTTCCAAGTCATTGTCAATTGTGTGAAGGCACCTATACAGGCAAAGATGAGAAGGGTGGTGGTTGCAAATATGCAATCAATTAATCATGAGGGAGGTTGCTTGACAATGCAAGAACTCCAACAATTGTGACCAGGAGATCGAGTCATCTAAAGCCAATCACTATTCAATATGGTCAACAGCTACGAGGGAAGAAAACTAATCATAGCAGCAAATTGGAGTGGGTTGTCATGTGAGTTATGGATTTGGGGAAATAAAAATGGGAAGAAAGGGAGTCGATTCAATTTATCAGATTTTTTTTAATGAGTCATAAATTGTTGCAAACTCGATTGCAAACTTAAATTACATGACTGATTTTGAAGCTACCTCTTATTCCATCACTATATAGTAAGAATCTTATAAAGCAAACATATCACCCATCCATGTCATATTTAGAATCATCAAGTATGTCTAGCACCATTGGTATCATGATGCCACACTTAGGCTTCGTTTGTGACGGTTTTTTTATTACTTTCTAAAACGGAGTTTTAGTTCAAAAATAAAAAAATTTGTACTAAAACTCTGTTTTAGAAAGCAATAAAAAAGCTGTCCCAAACGAAGCCCTAATCAATTTGACTTCATGCATTTTTATGTACTTCTAACCATTCAAAGTAAACAAACCCATATGTTCCAACTTCGTTATCCAAGTCGAGGATAAAACTCTATCAATCTCACAAATATCCACGATATTTTTTACTGTCATAAGAAAACAATTATATCAAAATTAGCATTTTAGTTTAAGAAAGATTTCATTAAACAAAAGAAAAAAATTAATATATTAATTATCATTACCTATAGATTATGACTCAGAATTCACAAGCTTAATTTTGCCTAAAAAAATAGCGGATATATTTTTATTGCCTAAAACGTATAGCAATATTCAAGCCTTTCAATTCTATATCATAATATATATCATAGATCAATAAGACTGAAATTTTGAACTATTGCCTCCATCTTGAACGTCAAGAGCTCCTACCGTCCACCTTTATACATTTTATATTAACAGCACTGTTCGCTATTTTCTTCCCAACCTAACGAAGTTAGGTGAGAGCTTTGGACCATCTTCCACAAGAGAAGCTCCTATTTTCTTTATTCACACACTTTAGTTAGCTAGCCAATAGGTCAATCATCCACGCTGCCGACCTTTGAAGAAAAATACCAAATGTGCTGACCACATTAATAATCTTCATCAACCTCACCATCAAATCAGTATAAAAGCTCAGCCATACTGCACTGCATGAACATCTACCAGCTAAACAAAGCATCAAAAACAAGCTAAAGCAAGCCAGGAGAAAGATGAGTTCAAGCTGGACTGCAGAGGTGGAGACCAAAGCCCCAGCGGCTGCCATCTTTAAGGCCGCATTCCTTGACTGGCATAATCTCGGTCCTAAGCTCATCCCTCAGATTATCACCGGCGTTACTTTAATTTCTGGAGATGGAAGCTCGGGGAGCATCAGGCAGATCAACTTCTCCCCAGGTTCGCAACTCGATCTCTTCTCTTTTGCTTAATGCTATTTTATGCCTTTTTTGGTAATTTTTTTATCCCAAATAGGCCCTTAATTATTACATTGAGTTTTTTATGCAGTCATGCCTTTTAGCTTTATTAAAGAACGTCTTGATTTCATCGACCATGAGAAGCTTGAACTGAAGACTTCTGTTGTGGAGGGTGGAGATTTGGGCAACAAGATTGAGTCTGCAACTTCGCACATCAAGGTTGAGCCAAAGGGAAATAGCTCTATTGTTAAGGTGTTGGCGACATACAAGGCCATTGCTGGCGTTGATGTTGCTGAGGACATTAAGAAGGCCAAGGAAGGTTTCATCAATAGCGTCAAGGCAGTGGAAGAGCACCTTGTAGCCAACCCTGGAGCCTATGCTTAGAAGTATCATATTTGCTTGAGCGAGAGTGTGCTTTAAATTGTTAGGTGGTAATAACGAGAGTTGTTTTTTATGCTAAGGAGAGATTTTATGAGAGTGCTTTTGTATTTCATTGTTCTCTGTTGTGGTTAATATAAATAAAGTGAAAGTATGCTTTCTACAAACATTGTATTGGTTTGGGTGTAACATTTTGGAGTTCTATCGGTCATCAGATCTGGAGGGATCTGTTTTTGTTTTGCTGATCTTTTAGAGCTGTTTTATGGATTTTTTATCGGAATGTTGGCTGCGTGATTGCTAGGATCATTGGTATGGAGGTTCGGTCTGGCAAACTTGGGATGACCAGATTTTCTGTTGCTTCCCATTTTGTTTTGCTGTGTGTGGAGTATGGGGTTAGTTCTAGTTAGTTTTTGGTTTATATTATCCGGTATACTTATTCCTTCAAAGGTGGTGATACTCTGAATTTTTTGTGGCTTGTGTCTGGTTCCTTCATATTACATGCCATGAGAATTTTGCTTCAACTCCTGCCTACTGCTCACCGTTTCGGGTCTTCTTCTGGCATTTCTGCTCTGGGTGGGATCTGGTTGCAGTTACTGCATTGGAGCGTTGGCTCCTTACTTAATCTTAATGAGGTTATTGCTGTTAGCTTCAGGGAAGTTTTACTACCGTTATATCCTTTACCACATGTGTTATGTAAGAATATGCATCTCTTATTTCACTACTCCTGTCACCTAATTTACTTTTGTTGGAGGTTCATTTTTGTGCAGAACGGCTGCCAAGACTTGGGGTGTCACAAAGGTTGCAGAGGGAGTTTCTCCACCGTTTTTTGGATCTTTCGGAAGGTGAATTACAATTTTTTGCAGGAAGTACGTGCTGACCGTTTTAATTTCCTTCTTCCTTTTTTGGTTGCTTTCTTATTATAGCACTAGATTGTTATTAGGCTTTTTTGTATATCTTAGTACTAGGAACCACTGGCTCTCAGGTTTTATTTTGATTTCTTTTGTAGCTCTTAAGAGCATTAGTGAGCTGGAGGTTCCTTTTAAGGACTTTGTAACCGATTTTTTTATATTAACGCGTAGGCCCCTCTGTGAGTTTTAACAAAAAAAAAAAGAATAATATTATGATATTTCTTGGGCTTCAAGCACACATTATTAGGTGATATATATAGTGTTTCTAATTATATTAAAAATATTTAAACTATATGAAATGGTGGTACAAAGCACAATCACTTCAATGAAATAGCTACCATGGAGATGATGACATGTTCCATTGAACTAGCTTTGAGCATTTATAACTTGAACACATGAAGATGTTCAATTCAATAGGTTTAAGGATGCAAAGTGAAGATTCATTATTTAACAATCTACTGAGGGGTTGTTTGGTATGCAGGATTAGTAGGGTAAAGTAATATAATTACCTGCATTTCTTAAATTCGGGTGTTTGATTATTTTGTAGCGGAACATAAGAAAGTCGTCCGATGCATTAGTCGTGTAGTAGCGGAGGCCAATCCTGCGATTTCCAAATCCGCTCAATTTGAGCGGGTTACAAATTCTCTCGCGCGATAACCAGCCTCGCGCGATGATGTCGCGGAAGCTGAGCGTTTAAGTTCCCTCTTCTTCTCCGTTCTTCCCACTCTCTTGCCGGCTCTCTAGTCCGAAATCCCCAACAGTTGTTGTCTTCCCTATCTAGAAGCCGAAGACGCCTCTCCGCTCGCCTTTTCCTCTCGCCCTCCTCTTCCACCACTTCCAATAGCGACATGAAGCAGCTCCCGATTCTTCTCTACTACCATGGCGGCGCCTTCTGTGTCATGAGCTCCGCCTCCGCCGTCTACCACAACTACCTCAACTCCCTCGCTGCCAAGGCCGACGTCCTTACTGTGTCAGTTAACTACCGCCTCGCACCCAAGAACCCGCTCCCTGCTGCCTATGACGACTCTTGGGAGGCGCTTCGCTGGGTAGTTGACGGCACAGATCCTTGGTTGTCGGATTTCGAGAATTTGGGCAACATTATTCTAGCAGGCAACAGCGCCGGGGGAAACATTTCGCACAACTTGGGTTTGAAGCTTGGAAGTGCTGGGATGAAGGTGGAGGGGCTGGTTTTGATACATTCTTCTGGTTCTCAAGTTTATGCTGTTTGCGTCATATATCCATGTAAGAAGAGCGTAGAAAGCTATGAAACATATGGGATTAACAGAGTTACTAAATCTCTTCAACTATCAAATAAAAAAATGTCTACTTGATTTTATCGGTCAAATTAAAATGTTTCTCAATCTATTATATATCTTTGTTTAATTTGAATCATTTGGCTTTCAGTTGTTTAAGATTTTGGAAAGTGATAGGGATAAACGGTCGTATTTTGATGAGATCTCCGGCGATCTCCGGTCAGTCCATAAGGTGGGTGAGTAGGAATGGTGAAGGATGGGAGTTCCATTTAAGAGAAGTGGAGAATTATCTCAGGAAGGGGAAGATGATTGTTTATTAATTAATTCCTTTTGATCTAATGATTTACCAACCACTGATTTAGTATATCTTTACTCGTAACAAGATGATTGCAAGTGTTCTTCATTATATATTCTGAACCATCTATTAAATAAGAATGAGCGTGCCCCCCACTCCAAATAACTAAATTAATCAAAGTTAGATGCTGAAATGGTTTTTTAATCTATTTCTGAAGTAGCTGCTGTGATTGAATGGGTTATAATTTCCTCGGGTCTTCTTATATTTCATTGTTGCTTAAATCATTTTTTTATTGTAAAGGAAGATTCATAATTGATGGTGTTTGTTCATCTATTTTATTCTTTTTTAGTGTATGTTGCTGAAGGTAACATGAAAGTTATAAACTACTGAACTTTATACTTTGCCACAATTAGGATTTGGTTATCTTTTACCTCTTATCGATTCTGGACTTCATCATATTATTTCTGGAGTGAGTAGCGACAGCTGTTTAATTCTGCTTTCAATGGAAACATTTAAGCTACATAAACATACGATGTTGTAAAGAGATTTTTTTAGATTTGCGGAAGATATTGACTTGACATGTAATATTTCTAAATTAAGCAAGTTTGAACATTTGATCAAGTGAGCTAACTCGTTTTGACATGTGATATTTTTAAATTAAGCAAGTTTATCACAATGTTGGTAAATTCTTTGATGCAATTGATTTAAGTATTTTAGAGCTAAAAGTGTCTTGCTCTTCCATCCATAAGAAACTGGTAAGGGCATGTTCTCAAGTTGCAGAGTTGATTCAGGAGATAGCAGTTTCTACATAAATTATTGCTATAATGCATGCAGGGGGGACCAATATGACGAAGAGCATAACTCTGTTTTTTGAGTTCTTTTGAAAGCAGTGGAGGGAAATCATCCTTGCCAAAACTACAAGACGGAAATTCTATTATTTTATAGTGCTCCTCATCTTCTTGCGTATTAAATCTATTTGCCTTCTTCATTGCATAGATATATGATCAATTATACGCTGATAAGAAGACTGGTGTTCCTATCCTTGCAGACAGTTTAATCTGGTTTATAACATGTGTATGTACAATATAGTTCTTGTTCAATGACAAATGGTATATAACTAATACAATCTAAAAATGATCATTTCTTTTTATTTTGCTTTTAATTTAATCTTCATTATTTCATATCCATAAGCATTTCATCTCATGCACAAAGCAGTGAAAAAGTATGGATAAGCAACCTTATAAATTTAGGGTTATCTTTTGATACTAAAATAAAATTCTTGGTAACTTTGTACTTATCTTTTTATAAAATAGTATTTCATCTTTTTTAGTAGTTGCAGCTGGCTCCAAATGTATTCATACTGCTTCTGAAAAATATTTATCATATTTTCTGTACGGGAGAATGAATTTGTCACAAACAGTGATGAACGGTAATTCAAAGCCCAAGAGGAAAATTTTTTTATGGATCTTAAAACCTGAGTGGATAACTGGATTGCTTATTATCTTTTGTTTTTTAATTGTACTTTTTTTGTTAATGTTGTTTACATGTTATGAATGAGAATCATGTAATTTATTGATTGTTAATCCAAAACAATTTCTTTTTATCGCTAAATTTAAGAAAGAAATCAGTTTAAAAATTTTATTTTCAGCAAATTATTTTGTAAAAACATTAATTTAAAAATAAAATTTTAAAATTTTAAATAAATTTAAAATTAAATTTCTCTCTATCACAAATATATTTTCGTCTATTGCAGCATATTGCTAAATTAATACACAAAAAAAAATTTATATCTTATAATAAAAACAAATTATAATAAGATCGTGCAATAAATGAGTAGATTGATTTTATTTTATAACATCAAATACAATTAATTATTATAAATATATTGCTTTTATAAATACACTAGTTTTAATAATAAAATAAATTATTAAAAAAAAATGCTTTTACTTTACTCTGGATAAACCTAACCAAACAAAGGAAACAATTCTCGTGCGTTTATTTTGCAGACAACCAAACAGGCTCAAAGTATTCGGAATGCACTACATTTACTTTACACTGCATTTACTTTACACTGCATTTTCTTTTCAGGCAACCAAACAGCCCCGAGTGTTTTTAGCATCAATTCAATGAAATTAGTTTAGTAAAATGTATCAATGTTTGAATGATGATTAATAAAACTTTAAAACGAATTTTGATTGAGCTAAAAATAATCTTATTTATGTAGCTGTATTATTATAGATTTATCTACAAATTTTAGGGTTTTATTTGGATTAATTTTTTATTTAGTTAATGTATTAATGCATTTTATTTACATATAATATAATTATTAATATCATGTCAAAAAAAATTGTTCATCTTAGAATTAAGTACCAATATTATTTTAAAATGTATGTGAGCATAAGCTTCATACTTAGATCAGCTTATGCTCACATACATTTCAAAATAATATTGGTACTTAATTCTAAGATGAGCAAATTTTTTTGGCATGATATTAATAATTATATTATATGTAAATAAAATGCATTAATACATTAACTAAATAAAAAATTAATCCAAATAAAACCCTAAAATTTGTAGATAAATCTATAATAATACAGCTACATAAATAAGATTATTTTTAGCTCAATCAAAATTCATTTTAAAGTTTTATTAATCATCATTCAAACATTGATACATTTTACTCAACTAATTTCATTGAATTGATGCTAAAAACACTCGGGGCTGTTTGGTTGCCTGAAAAGAAAATGCAGTGTAAAGT